ACCACCTCCACCACCACCACTGGTCCCGCTCCCGACACCACCACCACCACTGGTCCCGCTCCCGCCACCACCACCACCACCACCGCGTCCTCAACGGAACGCGGGCCCGCCACAGGTGAGCCAGAAGAAGGCGCCGAACAGGAGCAGGAAACCCGGCAGGAGGAGGAGCAGGAGGAGGAGCAGGAGGAGCAGGAGACTGATGAACGGGTGGAACCCAAGGTAAGTGATATGGGTTCTCAGCGGCTGACATTCTAACCCTCCGCCTGCAGAAACGGACGCCGCGCATAAGCGCCGAGATGGCCATCCACGAGGTGCGTTGTGCCAACTGCAAGAAAGTGGCCCGCACATGCCACGTCGCCTCCACGGGCGAGTCGTGCTACGAGTGCCGCCGTGGGAAGGTGAAGTGCTCCCATGTCGGAGGTAAGTGTTTCCTTCGTCCGTCTGGTACAATAAGCACTAACTATAGAATCAGTCAAAGGAAACAAAAAGACCGCGGCACCCTCACCTCCACTTCCACCTCCACCACCACCAGCGCCGGCTCCCAAGCCTAAACCTAGGCCGAAGCCGGTTGCTTCGACTTCCCGTCCCGTCCGGGCCTGCTCAAAGGCCACGCAAGTGCCAGGCCAGGCCGCCAGGACACAAACTAAGTCCAGCGAGCCAGCCGCCGTCGCACCGGCACAACCACGGGCGGTGCCAGGCCCCCGGTGCGTAAACAACGCCTACGTCGAGCTCCGGACGTGCACCAAGCGGAAGATCGCCGCCGTCGAGGAGGAAGAGAGCGAGAGCGAGGACGGCGAGCAGGAGGCATACTTGGCCGGTCGGGTGTCGGGCCTCTCCAACATCTTGCAGATGATAGAGATGGCCTGCGCCACTATGAGGAAGGAGGTGGAGGAGATTGATGGGCAGGTTACAAAGCGCCGCCGCCGCCGCCGCTAAACAGGATACTTACTTTTTTAATGTATAATTCAAAACATCATGATTGTAGTTTGTACTTGTACATGTAGTTACTTAGTTTTATTACTGTAGTTTACTGTAGTTGGTACACATGGAATAGCATGTGGCCATTATGTATTGGGTTGATAAGAATTTCTGTGTGAGCCGGGTCTCTCAAAGGATGTTAAACCCATGATTGATGTGGTACGGTCGAGGTCTCCGGATGACTTATTTACTTCGAGTGCGCGGCTTGCATGTGTAACGGGAAGGATTTCTATTGGCCTTGTCAGACGGCTCCCATTGGGGACCGGACCTTACATCTGGGAAGGGATCAGTACACGGATGATCGGAGGAAGGCGCCGACAGAGGACCGGACCACTCAATGAGAGTAGATATAATATATGTGTATGGACCGGCCTGCCAGTGGTACGGCTCCCATTGGGGACCGGTAACAGTGTTGTTAGTATAATTGAACTAGTAATGATCCAACGGCTCCGGCTGAGGACCGGACCTCTGGGGTAGGTAGTTGATAAGTTGACGATATGCCTCAGCCTATGGTACGGCACCCGTTGGGGACCGCATATATGTCATCCGTGATGATATTTGCCTGGGTGATGTCACGGCTCCCATTGGGGACCGCACTTTCATTGACCGAGTGTATTACATTATGCCTGTATATATCGGACGGCACCCGTTGGGGACCGCATATATGTCATCCGTGATGATATTTGCCTGCATGATGTCACGGCTCCCATTGGGGACCGCACTTGCATTGACCGAGTGTATTACATTATGCCTGTACATATCGGACGGCACCCGTTGGGGACCGCACATATGTCATCCGTGATGATATTTGCCTGCATGATGTCACGGCTCCCATTGGGGACCGCACTTGCATTGACCGAGTGTACTAAATCATACACGTACTTGTGAGACGTCTCGCATGGTGGACCAGATCTCTTAAAAGTCTCCTTATGATATGAACTAGTACTTGTCGACGGCTCCGATTGAGGACCGGACCTTTGAAGTAGGATCATTAATGATATTTGCTTCAGCTGGCTGGTGTGACGGCTCCCATTGGGGACCGCACTTGATTCACAAAAAGCAACATTGAGGCCCAGCGAGGTGCGGTCCACCATGCGAGACGTCTCACAAGTACGTGTATGATTTATTACACTCGGTCAATGCAAGTGCGGTCCCCAATGGGAGCCGTGGCATCATGCAGGCAAATATCATCACGGATGACATATATGCGGTCCCCAACGGGTGCCGTCCGATATGTACATGTATGATTTAGTACACTCGGTCAATGCAAGTGCGGTCCCCAATGGGAGCCGTGACATCACCCAGGCAAATATCATCACGGATGACATGTATGCGGTCCCCAACGGGAGCCGTACCATAGGCTGAGGCATATCATCAACTACCCAACCACCTATCCCAGAGGTCCGGTCCCCAATGGGAGCCGTGGCATCATGCAGGCAAATATCATCACGGATGACATATATGCGGTCCCCAACAGGAGCCGTACCATAGGCTGAGGCATATCATCAACTACCCAACCACCTATCCCAGAGGTCCGGTCCTCAGCCGGAGCCGTTGGATCATTACTAGTTCAATTATACTAACAACAACACTGTGACCGGTCCCCAATGGGAGCCGTACCACTGGCAGGCCGGTCCATAAACATATATTATATCTACTCTCATTGCCTCAGCTGATTACTAGTTCAATTATACTAACACTGTTACCGGTCCCCAATGGGAGCCGTCTGACAAGTACATGTATGATTGATACACTCGGTCAATGCAAGTGCGGTCCCCAATGGGTGCCGTATCATAGGATGAGGCATATCATCAACCAACCAACCACTGAACCACTGACCCCAGAGGTCCGGCCCTCAGCCGGAGCCGTCGGACAACACCATATGTCTTATAAGTTTATAAGTTAAGTTTATAAGTTCAGGTGTAAGCATACCGAGACTCATGAGATGTCCGGTCCCCAATGGGAGCCGTACCACTGGCTCCAACTTATATCCGGTCCTCAATCAGAGCTTTGGACAGGTCCGGATCCCTATCCACCGTCTGGTAAGGGACAGATGTAAGTATACTAAGAGGCATGAGAGGGCCGGTCCCCAATGGGAGCCGTCTCACACATAAGATGACAACTGATACCTAGCCGGATACATCATCCGGTCCTCAATGAGGGCCATGCAACAATGACATACTTATGCTCACTATAGGGTGAGATCCCCTATGCGACGGTCCCCAATGGGTGCCGTTTGACATGTTCAGGTATGATAGAACTTTGGTTCACCACAGGTGCGGTCCCCAATGGGAGCCGTCGACGGCCGTAGGGTGTTGTGCAACAAGGACATACATACCTATGCTCACTACAGGGTGAGATCCCCTGTGCGACGGTCCCCAATGGGTGCCGTTTGACATGTTCAGGTATTATCGGACCTTTGCCCACCACAGGCGCGGTCCCCAATGGGAGCCGTCGACGGCCGTTGGTCAGCAATACGGACCCCTCACCCATGCGGTCCCCTTTGGGAGCCGATGGAATGTGTACCGGACGGCTGACCAGGAGGGTACCACTATGAATCTAGGGTTAGGATGACCATTAATGGAAACTTTCGCCTAAAGGACAACCCCACGCTAGGGTTAGGGTCCTGCCCCTTGAGCCGTCCGTCTACCGGGTCTACGTCCCCGTATCAACAATCAACCCTAACTAACAACATGCTTCCTACCATTCTTAAGGTCACAGAAGATGATGCACTTAGTTACAAACTACCAGCAATTTTTTATGAGGTACCAAACATGGTGGATATGCTAGTAAGGGGTCAACTAAAACCAGTGATCACCAACATCACCAATCATCTAAATCAACTGCTTTACAACATTTTCAAGGTCACAGAAGATGATGCATCAAGGTGTAAAATACTAGGAATTTTTTATGAGGTATCAGACTTGGTAAGTATGGTAGATGTCAATTTTCTATTACCATTGGTCTCTAACATCATCAACCATCAAGCAAAGCTTCTTCCTACCATTTCTAAGGTCATAGAATTCAATGGACCAAGATTTGGAGCACTAGCAATTTTTTCTAAGGTTGTAGCCCATCTTCTCCTCCTCCCCTAGTACACAGCATATTAATATTTTGTAATATTGGCTGGAAATCATGTGTTTATAACACTACAGGGTACATACAGTTGTTTGTAAAAAATGCTAGGTGTTTCAATTGAGTTACACCATCTTAATATGGTAATACAGTAACATGAGATGATACTCAGTAAAATGAGCATAACTTATGTTTCTGACCACCAAATTCTTTAAAACATAGTGCAATAGAATCCCAGTGATCCATTCCATTAGATAAGACACCAAAAACAATGGGAAAAAGTGTGATGATATATATAATATACAGCCATAGGGTGTATAGTGCGGATGATAATGGTGATGAAGATGCATGGGTCGAGTGCATGATTTTGATTCGGCTCTTTGTTATGTTTGCTGATGGTATTGTGAAGTGAGGAGGATGCGTTGATGGAGGTGGACTGGGATGTACAGGTCGATGTGCCTGAGAAGGCGGACGATCTTGCACAGCACAAGTTGGATGAATACGACGATTGCGAGTCAAAGAAGATGGTATGTCTGTCGACACGGCCTCTTCAGTGATGCTGATGTTTCACAGGCATGGGTTCATTCAGCAATATTAGAGGACTTGCATTTTATAGAAATAACTAGGACGATCCATATATCACACTCAAAGACGTACGGTTGCCTTGTCTCTCTTTTACTTGCATCTAACACCGTGCAGGACCCCGAAGATGACGAGCGCTCAGAACTCGAGATCCTCCCAACAGACAACCTCCTAGCCATCGCAAACACAGAAGATGACATTTCCCAACTCGAGATATCTATGTCTACGACGGATCCCAAGACAACCTTTACGTCCACCACGACCTCATGCTCCCAAACTTCCCCCTCTGCCTCGAATGGCTAGACTTTCCACACCTCACTCTCGTTTCTCTCCCTCCCACACCAATCCTCTTTCCGCGTTATATCATGTCGATCTCTTTCCTACTCCTTCTCGCAGTTACTTCCTCCCAAACCAAATGGACCAAAGTTCAAGGTATACCACTTGAACTACCTGTATCCATTCATTGTTCGCTCCAGGCGTAGACCCAACTTCAGAACTTTCTTTCCTTATATTCCAAACGAGGTCAAGCATAGAAAGCGTACATCTCATACAGCTCAAGGTCCTGGAAGATATATTTCGTAAAGATACGAAACCAAATGCTGCCCTGCGTAAAAAGTTAGCAGCAGAGCTTGATATTCTTCCACGTGCGGTCCAGGTGTGTTCTAAACGTCAATTCGTCGCGTCCTCACTGCTCAATCTCGCGTGCCACCGAAAGGTGTGGTTTCAAAACAGGTATGTTGCGCTCTCTTCTCACTCGCTTTTCCAATTCAACTCATTCATTCATTCATTTTCATTTATTCATTCTTAGGCGTGCAAAGGACAAGGCTCTTCGTAAAAGAGTTCAGGACTCGACTCAGCAAGATTCACTCACCTCAAAAGTCTCAGTCTTCCAGGGACACCTTCCCCAATGATTCTTCCAATTCTTCCACCCCCACGGAAAAACCCACGCCCCTGCAGAAGACGATCGACCACCCTCACCAGAGCCACATCAGTGGAGCGATTACCAGCAGCTGAAAGTCCTCTTACAAAGTTTTCCTTTTCTCTTCCTGCGCCCCCTACAGAAGCTTGGCACAGTGACCCAGCCACTCCTGCCGAAATTCCCCACATGTTCGCCATTTGCCAGTGGACTTGACTTGGCAGGACAATACTGACCTTCTGAACACACGTAGAGGGTCGCTGCCAATCACCGCGTCCACGTCAAGTACAGACACCAACCAGCCACCTTCCCACCGGATTCCGGCCCCTGGTGGAGCGTATTTATTTAGGCACCGCCTCGCATTTGAGGGCCTAGGGTAGACGTCTGCCTTGCGTCATCCAGTACAATACTTGCAGGCGAACCGCTACCGCACACAAACTGAACACAGTCAGTTTATGTCTATTTAATGGTGTTCATGGTGCTTACTGATGTAATTTCGAACCTCGACGAGATATCTCCTCGAGTATGACCCAAAATGATGACTTATTTTGACTTTCTGCTCAGTGTCATATCCCATATATTCACGCTTCTCTTCCGGACTTCGGACCCTGAGATCCGGTCCGGTCCGATGTATAGATCCGCTTCCGATCCGATTTACGATAAGCTTTCTAATTCATTTCCTGTTTCATATAACGTTAAACACAGCCTATTCGGTATTTCCTCTTCCCGGTGTTTCGGTTATGCTTATTACCGGTATGATTACTGATCCGTTAACCTATGTCTCATTTCCGACTCGCGTTTGATAACCTTTGCACATGCTTCGTACATAGCCTCGGACCCTTGCTTACTGATACTTCCGTTATCCTCATAGTATATAAACTCGTGTATATGTCCTGTAGTACCTCAGTTCGAATATCATCTTAGTTTGTCCTCTTTCTGTCCTCCGGACTTGAGTTCTCCTTACTCTTGTCACTCTCCGAGACTTCGGATAGATTCCGATAGTCTATATCCTCGGCTCTACCTTCGGGTAGTCTTTACTCTGTTAGTTTCTAGTTCGGATACGTCCGGATTAGCCTTATACGCGTTTCCGATATCCGGAAGACTTCCGGATATACTACGAGACCCGTCCGGACCTTCGGACGCGTTATCGTTAGTACTTTGAAATAAGGGACAGTACTTGGGAAAGGGGCACAGCGTACGAGCTGAGGCCGAAGTCCTTCGGATCCGATCTTACGAGAGTACGACCTTAACAGTATATTCGAACTCACACCTTTCCAAGTACACTTACTCATATCATGGCTCCTACTAAAGTAAACCAAGCCGCTTTGCACGCTGTCGGACTTTCGTCCACCCGACGCGATCCGACATCCGTAGTTAACGCCTTCACCAGTTTCTCTCAGCGCCGTGTATCACGCGGTCCTGCTCAAAGTATTTCGCAACTCATGAATCGTCCGCATCCGGAAACCCCTACGCGCACTCCTGCCGGAGGTGATCCGGATGACGAAGGACCTCCGGACGATGAAGATACTCCTGGTGGAAACCCTCCGGATGACTTCGGAGGTGATCCGGATGATGAACCGGATGACAACGATGATGAATTTGACGGGTTAAACCCACAAGACCGTGTCATGCTTCGGCTTTCTCAAGCCATCGACAATCTCGCACGCAACAATCGTCGTCCGACCTCGTCCGAAGATTCTAAAGTCAAGATCCGTGAGCCCGATACTTTCGATGGCACTGAGCCTCGGAAGCTTCGTGCATTCTTCGTCCAATGCGAGCTCCACTTCCAAAGCAAACCCAAAGCCTTCCGTTCCGGACGGGCAAAAGTCAACTTCGCCCAATCCTACCTTAAGGGTATGGCACTCGAGTGGTTCGAACCGGATCTCCTAGCCGACGAGGACGATGATCGTCCGGATTGGATGGATGATTACTCCGCGTTCATGCTTGAACTCCAAACCAATTTCGGACCGCACGATCCGTCCGGAGATGCGGAAATGCAATTGGAGCAACTTCATATGCGTGACGGACAACGCATTAATAAATATGTTGTTGAATTTCAGCGTCTTGCTTCACAAGTCCGTGGCTGGGGTGACGGTGCCCTAAGACGCCAATTCTATAACGGACTTCCGGCTCGTATCAAAGACGAAATCAGTCGCATGGGTAAACCTTCCACCCTTTCCGAATACAAGATCCTTGCCCAGACTATCGACGCTCGATACTGGGAACGGAAGGGAGAAGTCGCCCGCGAAACTAAACCCACCACCTCCATTCCTCCTAAGCAAACCACGTCCGATCGGACGAATTCCAACTCGTCCGGACCTTCGAGGTACAAATCCGACAAACCCGCTACTTCCGCATCATCCTCTGTTTCTAAACCTCCGGACCTTACCTCCAAGTTAGGAAAGGACGGGAAGCTCACGTCCGAAGAACGTAAGAGACGGATGGATAACAAACTCTGTCTATTCTGCGGTGGACCCGGCCATTCGGCTCGGGAATGCACCAAGTCTACTTCGCGCGCTGCCAAAGGCCGCGCTGCAGTAGTAACTCCGGAAGACAAACCGGAGGCTTCGGATGAAGCAAAAAAATAGTCCGCAACCCTCCCGACTCCGCACGGGATGAGGGTTGCGTTGACTCTACCCGTGCAACGGAGCTACGTCTCAATGCTGTTTCTCTTTCCGATCCGAACTCTCTTTGTCCATACGTTTCTATTCCTACTTTTCCTGATATTTCTGATTTTCCTTCACTAATTGATTGTGGTTCCTCTCACTGTTTTATAGACTCTGATTTCGTCCGAAAAAATAAAATTTCTACATATCCGATATCTCCGCTTTCTCTCCGTTTGTTTGATGGTACTTGTAATAATATGATTTCCGAAGCTATAGATTTGCCTATCTGTTTTCCGTCCGGTGTAGTTACCTCCGATACGTTTTACGTTACTCCGTTGGATTCTTCTTGTTTTATCGTTCTTGGATATAGCTGGCTCACCCTACACAATCCGTTGATTGACTGGGTTTCGGGCAGCATCGATTTCCGAACGACTTCTCATGGAATGCCTTCGACACCTCCGACGTCGCTTCCGTCTCCGGATCCGCATCCTCCGATGGAAGATTTACCTCCTCCGACTACATCCGGAACCTCCGCTGATAAAACCATCCCCAACATTTCCTTGATCAATGCGGTTGCCTTTTGCCGGGCCTGCAAATTGGAAGGATCGGAACAGTTCAGCATCTACCTTCGTCCGACCGGTGTAGACCTCCGGTCCGCTTCCCTTTCATCCGATCCTCCGGACCTGTCCGGAATTCCTCCGGAATATCACGAATTCTCGGATGTGTTCGATAAGGGCAAAGCTAGCCAACTTCCTCCTCATCGTCCCTATGATCTCAAAATCGAGTTAGAGGAAGGAACTAGTCCGCCCCTCGGAACCATTTATTCTCTATCTGCAGTTGAGCTTGCAGCCCTCCGGAAGTTTCTTGATGAAAATATTTCCTCCGGACTCCTCCGTTCCTCATCCTCTTCTCACGGAGCTCCTGTCCTGTTTGTCAAGAAAAAGGATGGCTCCCTTCGCCTCTGTGTAGATTTCCGTGGACTTAACCAGATTACCAAGAAAGACCGATATCCGTTACCTCTCATTACCGACCTCCTAGACTCTCCGAGCCGCGCTAAAGTCTATACCAAAATCGACCTCCGATCCGCTTATCATCTCGTCCGGATAGCGGACGGAGACGAATGGAAGACCGCGTTCCGAACGCGTTATGGCTCATATGAATGGTTGGTAATGCCGGAAGGTCTCACTAACGCTCCGGCTGCATTCCAACGCTTTGTCAATAGCGTGTTTGCTGATATGCTGGATGTATGCGTTATCGTATATCTGGACGACATCCTCATCTATTCCCAAGACCTTGCATCCCATAAGGAACATGTCCGAGAAGTCCTTCTCCGTCTCCGAAAACATCGACTCTATGCTAAACCCGAAAAATGCGCGTTCCATACCACATCCGTTGAATACCTTGGTTACATCCTATCTCCGGACGGCTTGACCATGTCGTCCGAGAAGATCCAGTCCATCGTTGACTGGCCGGAACCTCGGAAAGTTAAGGATATTCAATCCTTCCTCGGATTCGCAAATTTCTATCGTCGATTCATTTTCAATTACTCGGACATCGTAGTTCCGCTCACCCGTCTTACCCGCAAGGGGGTTACTTGGGATTTTTCCGATGATTGTCGGAAGTCTTTTGAAACACTCAAGAAAGCTTTCACGTCCGCTCCGGTGCTTACGCACTGGATTCCGAATGTTCCGATAGTCGTAGAAACCGACGCCTCTGACTACGCTATAGCCGGAATACTTTCCATAGTATGTCCGGACTCAGAGCTTCGTCCGGTGGCATTTTATTCTCGGACGCTTACCGCTCCGGAACTCAACTACGACACTCACGATAAGGAACTTCTAGCCATCCATGAAGCTTTTCGGACGTGGCGACATTACCTTGAAGGCTCTGCCGAGCCGATAGACGTTGTCACGGACCATAAGAACCTTGAGTATTTCTCTACCACAAAACTCCTCTCTCGCCGTCAGGCCCGCTGGTCGGAATTCCTCCATCAGTTTAACCTAGTCATCCGTTTCCGTCCCGGAAAACTCGGAGCTAAACCGGATTCCCTTACTAGACGCTGGGACGTCTATCCCAAAGAGGGGGATAAGGACTACGCTCGAGTTAACCCTCACAATTTCCGTCCGGTATTCACTTCGGAACAGTTAGCTTCGTCCCTCCGAGCCTCAACTCTAGTAACTCCGGTTCTTAGGGCAGCCGTTCTGATTGATATCGACCAGCTCCGGAAAGACATCCTGACCGCACTTCCTAATGACCCTATCGCATCCGAACATCTTCCGGAACCTTCGGATCCGAGATGGACGGTGGACGATAGTGGTTTCCTCCGCTGCGACAACCGTATATATGTTCCGGAATCTAATAATCTCCGTCTTCGCGTCCTCCAGAATACTCATGATCATCCGTTGTCCGGACACTTCGGACAGAACCGGACGCTAGATATCATCCGACGCGAGTACACTTGGCCAGGAATCCGTACCTATGTCAAAGACTACGTCAAGTCTTGTACTTCCTGCGGCCGAGCTAAGGTTCCGAGACACAAACCTTACGGATTGCTCAAGCAGTTACCCATACCGGAAAAGCCTTGGAATTCTATATCCATGGATTTCATCGAGCACCTTCCGGACTCATCCGGCTTTACAGCCATCCTCGTCGTAATCGACCGTCTATCCAAACAAGCTATATTCATCCCTACCCACGACACCATTACCTCTCCGGATCTCGCTCGTCTATTCGTCCTCCACGTGTTTTCCAAGCACGGAGTTCCATCCCATGTCACTTCGGACCGAGGAACAGAATTCGTATCGCATTTCTTCCGGTCCTTAGGAAAAGCATTAGATATGGTCCTCCACTTCACGTCCGGATATCATCCGGAAGGAGACGGACAAACCGAACGAGCGAACCAAACCCTTGAACAATACCTCCGGATATACTGCAACTATCAGCAGGATAACTGGTCGGAACTACTTCCCTTGGCAGAATTCGCTTATAACAACGCTCCGAGTGCTACTACCGGAGTATCACCCTTCTTCGCCAATAAGGGATATCATCCGAACCTATCCGTTCATCCGGAACGTGACCTCTCATCCGCCCGCGCACGAGACTATGCAGTAGACCTTGACGAACTCCATCAGTTCCTCCGAGAAGAAATGGCCCACGCACAAGAAAGATATCAAGGACCTGCGGACGCCAAACGGAAACCTGCTCCGGATATGAAAATCGGAGATCCGGTCTTCGTCAAAGCAAAATACTTCCGATCCACCCGTCCGTCCAAGAAACTCTCGGAAAAGAACTTAGGTCCGTTCGAAATCATAGCTCGTCCGGGTACGCATTCTTTCACCATCCGACTTCCGGATTCCATGCGCTCCGTACACCCAGTTTTCCATGTCTCGCAATTAGAACCAGCCACACTCAATACCATTCCTAATCGTATCCAATCGCCTCCGCCTCCGGTCGAAATCGACGGAGAACCCGAATATGAGATATCCGAAGTTTTGGACTCAAAATTAGACCGTCGGAGAAGACAATGTCAACTCCTATACCTCGTCCGATGGTCCGGATATGAAGGAACGGACGAGGAGACTTCATGGTTACTTGCTACGGAGCTCGGTAACGCATCCGAACTAGTTTCGGACTTCCACGCTGCATATCCGAACAAACCCGGTCCTATTCAACTTTGAAGTACATAGTGTGCATACGAAATACAAGTACATTTAGAGAAGAAGCATAAACGGACCAGAAATTCCTACATCTCCATAGACCCATCCGCCTCTCCGGATCCGCCTGCATCACTTCCGGACGCCCTTTCCATCACCTCATCTTCCTCCTCCGGACCCGGAGACGTCCGAAATCCCTTCCGAATATGTCCGAACAACATGGCTTGAAATTCCCTCTGTTGCTGAAGGAACAGCTCAATTCCGGAGCTCATCCGGTCCGCTGCAGCCCTGCTGCCTTCCGCCGCCTGAATACTTCTCTCCAAAAGGGTGTTAGTCCTAGCCAGCTCCGCCACTATACTGTTGGCTGCGGCCACCCAAGCCTGATCATCGTATTCCGTCTCCATCTCCTCCGGATCTTCAGGAGTCGGACTCTTCTGACGTTTCTTACCTTTACCTTTCGGAGATGGAGATCCGGCAGCATGCTTCCTCTTCTTGCCCTTGGGCACCTTGACAGTTCCGGGTCGTCCGGGGCACGTAGCCTTGTCCTTCCGGCAGATATCGCAAGACTTGACCTATCCGGACGTCAAAACACTCGGATCCGAAAAAAAAAACACGGATTAACTCACCAGAGCATTGCTCTCCGCATCCGTCCAAAGGCAAGTCCGGCCTCTGTCGCTGCAACGCTTGCAGGATCCGTCCTTGTCAGCGGAAATGGCACGAGACTTTTCATCCGTCAGGCAAAGCCATCATAACCATCCGAAACTCACCATTTCCTCTACTATCTCCCTGCGCCGTTTGTTTTCTGCCTCCACCCGAATTTCGGACTCTCGAATCCTCTTAAGATCCTCCTGAATCTTCCGTTCCTCTTCACGCTTCCGCTCCGCCTCCTGACGCTTCCGAATCTCCTCCTCCTCCTTCCGAGCCGCAGCTTCAGCGTCCGCTAGTTGCTGTTGAAGCTCCAGCAGTTTCTGCTTAGCAGTCTTCTGAGATCCGGAGGTGTTGCCAGACATTTTCGATAGAGCGTTATAGAGAGTAAAAAGTGGGAAAGGAAGAATCATCCTGGGACGTCCGCCCTTGAGTATACCTGTCCGATTCCGAACTCAGACGCTTCTCCATCATCTCGCGATAATCTCGTCCGGTCCGGACCGATGGTTCTTGTGCCTCTAGGGATCGGCCCTAAGGGGGGGATACTGTCATATCCCATATATTCACGCTTCTCTTCCGGACTTCGGACCCTGAGATCCGGTCCGGTCCGATGTATAGATCCGCTTCCGATCCGATTTACGATAAGCTTTCTAATTCATTTCCTGTTTCATATAACGTTAAACACAGCCTATTCGGTATTTCCTCTTCCCGGTGTTTCGGTTATGCTTATTACCGGTATGATTACTGATCCGTTAACCTATGTCTCATTTCCGACTCGCGTTTGATAACCTTTGCACATGCTTCGTACATAGCCTCGGACCCTTGCTTACTGATACTTCCGTTATCCTCATAGTATATAAACTCGTGTATATGTCCTGTAGTACCTCAGTTCGAATATCATCTTAGTTTGTCCTCTTTCTGTCCTCCGGACTTGAGTTCTCCTTACTCTTGTCACTCTCCGAGACTTCGGATAGATTCCGATAGTCTATATCCTCGGCTCTACCTTCGGGTAGTCTTTACTCTGTTAGTTTCTAGTTCGGATACGTCCGGATTAGCCTTATACGCGTTTCCGATATCCGGAAGACTTCCGGATATACTACGAGACCCGTCCGGACCTTCGGACGCGTTATCGTTAGTACTTTGAAATAAGGGACAGTACTTGGGAAAGGGGCACAGCGTACGAGCTGAGGCCGAAGTCCTTCGGATCCGATCTTACGAGAGTACGACCTTAACACTCAGCTTTCAAGTCATTTTCAACATTTGATCGTGTGCTTCTCCGTCCAGGCACACAAGAGAGGGCCCCGTAAACTTATCGATAGCTGTTTTTGGACTCTTGCTCTAGTATTACGTTTGCCTCCCTCGAAGCAGCTAGCGCCACCATGCAACCTCGCCGTTCTCATTACCTACTTTCACGTTCCCTGCTTTGGCTTTTGCCCTTTCCCTGATGCTACTCAGGCTGGCACAGCATCGGGTATATCCTGTTTTGCTTGCTGCAGGACCTTACTCACGTGTCACAGGACCGAAGATCCGGATGGCTAGATAAGGACCTTCGAAAGTGACAATGAACCAAAGGTATAGTATCGACAAGAATCTGCCGACTGCACGGACTTCTTCTACACAGCACCGTAGGGCAATGGGTAAGAAGATTTCCAATAGACCTTTGAAGCGCTCACGCATCAAATAAGTATATTTTTGACATTGTCAAAACGCCGTAGAATCTTTCCCAGTAATACATATGGAGATGGGATGATAAGAGATATACATTAATAATGATGGGTGGAAAGTTGAGTTCGAGCCTTGAAGCTTCAAGGAAGCTTGTCAAAGGACTGCTCAGTTGTACTTACGTCATATAATTTATTGTTGCACGTCGTGACTGCCGCAAGCCTCAGTAGTGATTTTTTTATATACCTACCATCGAAGATCAGCAATCAGCTTCCAGGGCTCGCCTCTCCTTGTAGCAACGTGTTCAAACCTTTGACCATTCGATGTCCTTAAAAGAAGACCGAAGAAACCGATCCTGGACCAGCCATTTGCTAGCAGCACTCTTTCGTCCATTCATGCCAGAGGCAGCTCCTCCTGAACTCCCCCACCTGCTGTTCCACAGTGGCCCTAGGCCGGGTGGTAGTGTGCCAGTCACAAATTGGTACTTATGGATGTTGCATGATAGGCCCGATAATCGCTACCTCATGTGTTTGCTCACTCACATTGATTACTGTAAATGCATTGATGGTGCCGAGCATGAATTTCTTTTATTATATTTCAGACATTTGACTTCCTCGGCCGAGGCTGTCGTATGCGCCGACCGCACTGTGGAGCGAGGCAATGGCTCTACATCAGAAATCATCTCTCCCTCTCCCTCATCAAAACAAACTGCTGCATCTGACCATGCACTTCTTCTCGGTTCACCTAACGATGCAATAAGACACCTCCGTGATAAACCTGGGCGCTACAAGAAGCTCTGCACGCTCACGTTTTCTCCATCTTCCGCACCTTCAGTGCTCCACGTGGCCGCTATTCTATGCCTCGTTCATCGACAAGCCCCTGCTTACAACTTGTATGAGAAGCAGTGCTTCTGGTACGCGGATTCCGTGTGGATGAGCTTGAAGAATATTTTCCCGCAAAATCAAGAATCATGCAAAGATCACAATGCACGTACTCATTACTGTGGAGTCGCAATATCAGGACCGTCATCTGCAACTGTTGAGGCTGTCTGTGCAGCTTATCCGCCAGAGTGGCAGAAGACAATGGATAAGCTCGCGCAGCTAAAGCAGTGCTGCGAAGCGGAACTAGCACAGGTAGGCTATTCTTATCAAATGTGATTTTCATTCGTTGATGGTAATGGTCTTTGCAGAGTCGACAAGAAGGTTTCGCGGAAGCAGAGGTGGGCTATTCTTAGAAAATGTGTCTCTTTTTGTTGACGATATTCTATCTTTTGGCAGCAAGCTGCAGAGGAGCGGGTTCGCCGAGTACAGGTGTGTATTACTTATTCTCAGACAATGTCTCCTTTTGTTGACAATACTCTATCTTTCGGCAGGAAGCTGCAGATGAGCGGGTTCGCCGAGTACAGGTGTGTGTTACTTATTCTCAGACAACGTCTCCTTTTGTTGACAATACTCTATCCTTCGACAGGAAGCTGCAGATGAGCGGGTTCGTCGAGTAGAGGTGTGTGTTACTTTAATACTTATTCTCAGCATATATGTTTGTTGATTACGGTCCTTGTCAAGGCCGAAAATGAACAACTTCTTGCAAGGTTTGCAGCCTTGGAGGGCAGAACAACTGCTATTTAATTCAGAATGCCTCGCACAAATTTACCTGCATTCCTTATTCCATGTTCTTTGATTCTTTGGCTTCATTTGCACACATCATGGTCTCGCTTTGTAATTCGCCTCAGTATCCGGATAGCCCGATTCCGCAACATACTGACGATATACTAGACTCTAATTATATTGACATGTAATTAGATAGAGTGTATGATGGAGATCAGAAGTAAGGTTGATCGTCCTCAAATCCTTGCCAAAACATCATCACGGCCATCTCCCCTCCAAATCTCGCACAAGCGACTTGCGGATGGGCATTATTTACTACAGGTATTGATATTTCATCTCCGTGGCTTCCTACGTTTACATCTGAGGATATCGCAGGTGGCCGCCTATATCTTATTGGTGTCATGGGCGCACCCCGTAAGTGCCACCCCATCTAACTAGGAAAAAACTATGCCTCCATAATGTTTCAACTCATAGATAAGTATCCTCAAATTCTGGCGTACGGCCGCCAATACTACTGAACCATACGCGCTTCCTAACTTCTTGTAACCCCATGGCGCAATGGTGGCTTGACCGACTATGAGCGCTTCAGCGATGGGCGCCGGGCTTCGAACGTGCAACTGGAAGTCACTGCATGGATAGCCTGTGAATGTGTCAGACCATCGAAGACGTTATCAAAGTCATCGCCCGGCATTGGCAAGGATAGCACTGCTCATTGACATTTGCATGCCGAATGGACGAAACCTACATATCCAAATCTTAGGGCCTAGTAGTACTAAAGTCTAACGGCCTCCGATGCGAAGGAGATGCAAGTATGACCATAAGTTTAACTCTTTCTGAGCATTTTCCATTGGCGTCGTGGGTCATTCCGGACAGGTGCTCATGATGTGCGATGCACAGATAATGATGATAGGATGAGGACAGTTATCGGGAGGATAGCTCGTCCAAGAGTAGCGATGAGTCGGCCGATGAATACATCCCTCCACGCAAGCGCCAGCGTCTTCAAGCCAACTCGTCCTCGCGTGTCCTCCGCTCCTCCAAGGGAGTGCAGACAAATAATTGATTGCATCTGTGTTACTACTATACAAATGGTTCGTATTTTTAACTTTTTCTAACGGTGTAGAAAGCTGATGAAATTACATAGAAATGGTTGCCTGTGTACTATAGAAAGTTTGGAAGGGGCGTTCTCACAATATCGAAGAGGGACTCCTGGGGAAGATGTAGTAGACAACTGCAGCCACTACTGCAAATATTGTATCACGAAATACGTACGTCAACTTATGAATTGGATTCGGACAAGGCATAAACACAAAGAAGGGTATGTGCGAGCATTTTCAGTCAGTTGAACTTGTTTCCCGTACATGTCTGAGACGATAATTGGGTTTTTATGAACTTGTTATCCTGGCATTCGAGCAGTGCACCCAACCAGTACTAGTTGACGGGTAGCTGTCTCGGGGACCGCTATAGTAGTCAATCCTCTGTACAGTAAGCCCAGTCCCTTGGTAGTGTCACTTGCACTGAGCATCGAATACAATGCATCATTTATTGGGCAGGCTTTCGAAAAGAGTTTCTACGGAAGGACTGGGCCGTCTCACATCAATCAAGTCGATATTTGAGCTCCAGAATTTCGAGTTCGAGTTCCAGAGTGACACTATCATCTAATTTAAATACCGGTAAGCTTACACAACTCCTCGTATGTCAACAAAAATTCCTGCAGATCAAGCAATGGATGTTAATGATGAATTACAGACCTAAACTATACCTCCACCCAGCCCTGATCGATTCCCTCTCGCATGACCCACCTGCATACCCCTAACCACTTTCTTATCCTCTCTTCATCTCGTTCTTCCCCCTCTTCCAACACGCTTGTGTCACCAGAACCTTGCAGTGCCAATACAGCTCACCCAACAACCATCATACCCAGAGGCCTTTGCTCTCCCGCAATATCCAACGCTTCACATATATCTCCAAGCGTACTTGCGACTACCCGTTGATCAGGCATCGAGCCGCGCTCGATAATGGCAATAGGCGTGTTCCGAGGGTATGGACGCCCCTCTCGTCTCCTTTCACTATTCTGCAGACCTTCCCCACTGTTGCTGTCATTGCGAATCATAGCGTCAACAACCTGCGCTATCCGGGCGACGCCCATGAGGATAAGCACAGTCCGCGAGCATTCATAACCAGGAAGCTTGACCTCCTTGCCCTGTCGCCCGACTCCGGTACACACAACGACACTTTCTGCAACGCCACGCTGCGTGACTGGTATTCCAGCAAAAATAGGCGCTGCAAGTGCAGACGAAACACCCGGGACAACAAGCGGTTCGAACCCGTGTGCTCGGAAGAAGAGTACCTCCTCCCCTGCACGGCCGTAGACAACTGGGTCTTCTTGTTTCAGCTGTGTGACGAGATAATTGTCAGTGTCAAAGAAATGAAGAATCGGACGTACTCTGACGACAGTGAGGCCACGTCGAGCAGCTTCGACAGCTGCGTCCATCATCTCTGACTGCGCGCCTTCGGCATTGCCAGGGAATTTGCTTGCAATGCACACCTCGATAGTTTCAGGTATGAGAGCCAGTATGGCCGCGGGATGGAGCTTGTCTGAGAGAACAAGATCTGCATGTTTCATAAGCGCATTATGAGTTGCAATGGTGAGAAGGGAGGGATATCCTGGGCCGGAACCAACGAGGAGAATACGGCCTTTCTTCGGAGGCGGTAAAAGTGTTAAGTTATGTAGTGAACTCTCGTTTGGAACCTGAACTGAGCATGGTGAAATCGTTTGGGGAGAGTCGCCAGATAATATGAGCTTCATATCGTCTTCTGACATGGATGCCAACCGTGTGATAGCTCAATACTCGCTGACCTGAGCAGCCCATTTCATGCGGCGGCGGGAGGACTCGTCTTTGCTTTCAGTGGCACTACTTCTCCAACCAGGTACGGGCCTGTTAGGAGTGGTGACACTACTGTTCTCACCTTCTTCACACTCTGCGACCTCGTCATCTGTATTCTTAGCCAAGCGTCGAAGTCTTCCGACCTGCCTGACAGCTCCGGCAATGTCTTTTGGAAGCATGCTGACAATCTCTCGTCTAACATGCCCCGCGAGCCTGCATCCCTCCCCATTGGTTGTCACACCCACTTGTAGCGCACTCTGCCCGCCTGTAGATGGATCAGCGAAACGGTGCATGGACGCAAAGGAGAAGTCGCATAGTGCAGGATGGTCGGTAACGTTTATGGGGATGTTATGTGCATGACAGATACGTGCAAGTGCGGGTGTGTCCACCGTGTGTATGGTGATGCGAATAAGAGATATAGATGGGTTTTCGGCGAGGAATGCAGAGAGGGACTCTTCTGGAGCTGAGGGAAGTGGAGAAGTAGACACAGAGGGAAGCATGTCCCAGTCTGTGAGATTTACTTGCTGTTGGTCCGCTCTCCATCTCAGCTCGTCACATACTAACCCTCTAGCGAGTATGATCACTTGCATACCTGCCTCGAGTGCCGCAAATGCCCTAGAGGCGGCCAGGACATCACCGCCAATAATAAGGATGGTGTTTCTGTGTCCTTTGAATGTCAGAAGGAGGGACGCTCTACCTACTGGCGCGGGGTACTGACTCAATCCATTGGAGACCATGGAAAGGATAAAAAGAGGAGCAGGGTGTGCTTTCAAAATATGGTATAGCAAATCACATCTATTATGTAACATGGCGTTCATCCATTGAGTAGCCGATAATCAACAGTCTCCGTTCCCACTGAGTCGACTTCATTCATTCATTTTCATGGCTCCCCTGTATGGCCCGACATGGTCGACTTCGAGTCTCGAATCCTCGGACATGCACAGGAGATACCAGGCGTTGAGCTTGCACACCGAGTCTATATATCCGAGTCGTCCGATCCCAAACCTTCGTAAGCCAAGACTGGCCTCGATATTTGCGACCATGTAACTATAAAAACAGAGGCTCGGTGTCTTCATCCAGCTAATCCACCAACCATGTACATCCCTCCATTCGATACCACCCCCTACTCCACCATCACCCAATCACCCAATCCATCCTGGACCTATGGCCAGAGAGTCGACGCCACTCCTGCCGGAAAGGACTGGCTTGCAGGCGAATCTGCAGGCTGGAAAGTCTACAGCATAACAGAAATGGACAAGACGTACGTACTCCTCCACTTGTTTATCAGCCGCGATCGCGACCGTGATCGACAGCAATCTCAACAAGCTCTTGAATCCAGGTGTTCTACCACGCCTCATGTCACTCGTATCCATGATCAGCGAGGATGGCGTAGAGAACATGGCACCTTTCAGGTAAGACAGGTTTCCATAATCTGATACATTCTACATGCTTACCTGGCTTGCATCCACCAGTTGGTTCAACACAGTGAGCAATGCGACAAACAACGCGTCCCTCTAACGGTCTGATAAACTTTTCTCATAGGTCACCAACTACCCGCCTGTCATCTCATTCACGATCAACCACAATGCTACAGGCAGCCTAAAAGACATGACCACGAACCTGAAGAACGGCCAAGGACTCACCATGAACATCATCAGCGAGGGATTCGTCGATAATGCAAATTCGACTGCCGTAGACGCTCCTCCCGAGTTCGACGAGTGGGCTCTCAGCGGTCTGACAAAGGAGAAATGCGTACACGTGGACCTTCATCATACGATGCATGGACTAACAATCACGCGTTCAGGTGCAAATAAGAGCCTCGCGCGTCAAGGAAAGCGCTTTTAGCATGGAATGTGAGGTAAGCTCATTTCACGCCGAGCCCGCTCGTTTGCTGACATCCTCGCCTCTCAATAGCTGTACAAATCGATAGATATCACACATCCAATCACAGGCGAGCATAACAGCACGCTCATCCTCACGCACGTCAAGTACTTCCACATGCGCAAAGACATGCTCACAAGCAGAGGTGCCGTCGACCTCACAAAATTCAAGCCTGTCGCGCGTGTGGGCGATATTTCATATGCCCGGGCCGGAGATACATACAGGATCCCTGTGCCTTCATGGGCGAAGGAGGAGGGAAAGATACAGGAAGCATTGAAGACACTCGCATCACTATAAAATAGAACGAGGGTGGCTTACCATTTCTGAACATATACCATAGATCATATAGATATCAGCATCCAGGCGGGATAGAATCCGTCGCTATTTCTTATCCCTAAGATAGAGCTTTATAATTGACTAGCAAGCCATACTTTTCCAAGTGCACATGTTGACTCGAATGCAGACACACGATATCGTCCTCTCTAACCACCTCGAGAGCAGATGGTGCCTCTGCATGTCAAATTTTGAAATCTTGTATTTGCGAGGGTCATTTGCAGGGTATGTATGATATATGAGGCTATGATAATGTGATCGTCGACGTGTTCTAAAAAAACCATTCAGCTACAAAATGTCTAGGGTCGGATCCTGATGTCATAATGTCAATCGAAGCCGGGTCTTTCACCTGCGCAATGATAAATTGGTCCGACGCGACCCTCTTGTATTCTCCAACGCGTTGCTGCGCTACCAAAAGTGCATTGAAAGCCTCACTTGATACGAGCAGAATGGGTCAAGTCGCATTGACAGCAATCACATTGAATCTGCAAGCCGGGCTCGTTTACAGCTGCACAGTTTATGTTATAGCTTTGAGCCCACGATCTGAAACAGGTTAGCGCAAACATAATCGTATGATCGCGAGAGAACATACAGAGAAGTTGTATATCAGCTCTCTGCCAAAAGCGAAGGTAATACACGTCGTCGACAATAGAAGTGATACTCCGTTGTTCGTGGGAACATCAACTGTCGGGCCTTAGGCGTTTTACATACATCATCCATTTTGGGTAGGCTGTGAAGGAAAATTGATCCATTCCTCGCTTTGACTGCCTTCACAGGTCATCTGATATTTTGTCCACCAACTGTCCCGACACTATCCAAAAGTCTGTCGAGTCGGACTGTGCGAGGTATGCCCTACGTTGAACGATAACGTGAATTCTGGGACTGATGTATCTCGTTGATTCTAGCCTTTATTTTCAATAGCCCGGCAATCATGATGAACGTAAATCCAGCGGCCTATCACGATGCTTGCACCGACCACTCGGAAGCTAGATTCAGCGGGTACAACGTAATGTGACTCAACTTCCCTAGCGTGTTTACCACTGCCCCTTCCAAAAACAACATTTTTGTCAAGTTTGAGGCGCAGTGTCGAACACCCGGCCCACGTTCCATGGGCTTCTTCTTCGACGAATCTCGGGAAGCATGGGAAGCCTAGCTATTCGCACCGCACGTGTAGCTGCCCTTTGCGGATTTCTCTAATTTCAAACGCCAGCATGGTAACCCTAGCTATGTGGGTGCCCGTTTATGCGAGCACACGCATATAAGAGGGATGTGAGTAGTGACAGCTTTTAGTGACGATTTCCAAGATGACTCTCATGAAACTTCTTTTCCTTGTGCCATCTGTCCTTGTATTCAATAATGCGTATATTTCTCCGAACCCAGCACCCAATAACGAGGAAACAATTAGCGGCGGTCCGCTCTACGAGCGTATCTGCCCAGCCATTTTCCCGATATTACAACGGGTATGTCAATTTTCGATGTCTAGACACATTAACGAATATCATATAACAGTTGTCGGGCTTGATACCCTGTGTCGCAGAGATAGCCGTCATACTCGCGGCTTATTTTCCATTGCCTGTCTCATCTGGAATCCTCTCTATTCTAGTTCACAGCGGACAGCTTCCGGATATGGTACCAAACACACACTTCATACTCGGAACGATCCTCGTCCTCTTGGGTTGCTTGGGACGCCTATGGTGTTTTCGTGTCATGGGACGCCATTTCACTCACCAGCTGAGCTTGCGCAAGGACCACTCCCTCGTCACCGCTGGTCCATACCGCATTGTGCGCCATCCTAGCTATGTAGCCAGCTGGATCGCCTCGTTCGGGATCTCGCTCATCTATGCGAGCCCCGGATCGTTCGTGCGATCTTCAGGGTGGCTCCCCACTTACATCGGGCGTATCGTATTTGGAATATGGGCACTCCAACTCATGCTGACCGGCGTGCTAAGCTGCGCACGGGCTATGAGCGAAGATGCGATGCTTCGCAAGCGGTTTGGGGCGGAATGGGTCCGGTGGTCTCAGAGGGTGCGCTACAGACTCATTCCGGGTGTATTTTAGTGATTTTTTTTTGTATCTTTGTTGTGATTCAGACTCTAACCTAGACGCGATGTCATATTTGTAGTTCTTTGATGTTTCAGCTTTCGAGCTTTCCGACCAGTACGATCATGACGTGTATTTCATGACCTTTTCATTCATACTTGTATAAGTCTCGATTGTGTAGAGCGCTAGGACTGGTATGTGCAACTGGATCACATGATGAAACCTGATGCTTTGATGCTTTTACTAACAAGCGCCATGTAAAGCAAGCTAGTGTCACCTGCCCTGGCGCTCAGGCACGTGTTACGGGTCTTTGACTACATACTTACGGATCCCACTCTTGGTTTTCAGACTCGTGGGGTCTATTACCAAACGTTTCGAACGGTATGTCTGATACATTCTTATGTTATACACGCTGCTCACCAAAATGCAACTTCGTGCACGCGCCTCCAGGGTCATATGCGGTAGTTCAGAAGCCAGGCTGCGATATATGACGCACCAGCCGATCGTATCTTGATTGCCTTTTTCGAACATGTATAGTTCCTGGTCTGGCCTTTAGGATTTTGCCGCATCGTGCCGCATCCGTGCCGCACCCTACACAACAAGTGTCTTATATGCGTATATAATACGTCTACGTCGTCCACAAAGGTCTTAAATATGATTTACGATTAAGAAATACCATAGTACATGTTTTTGTGTAAGAATTATTGCGGTATCATAGTGAATATAGTACTTCATGGGTGCGGTAGTGACGCGGTAGAATGCGAGATTTGGTGGCTGTGCACTACCGCACCGCACCAACGCATCCTTCTCCACATTTAGTTTTCAGTGAGCTTTAGCTTGATCACATTCCCCGCTACCGGGATGGCTTTGTGACCAAGTATGGCACTGGTTCTTGGTTTCGATCGTCGTGGAAAAATTTCATGTTGGGAAGTGCAGTGCGGCACTTATGTGAGTTTGGTTGGCTTTAAGGATATGGAGACCTTTCCCTTTTCATATGCAGGATTGTCGCGGCAACAATTGTTACGTGCCAAAAAGCTTTTACTGAGACCTGTATAAATAGTCTGCAGATCTATACAAAATCTATCCATAAAATGTTTAAATTCTTTCATACCACTCTCCCAGCTGGCCGGGGACAGCCAAGCTGTTTGCCTTGTTGGCGTGTGCCCATAATACATCCCTGAAAGATGCATATCAAATGCAATTGATACCCAAGTCTTCAGCAATGACCATCGCAGCCCGCTCTCCAATAAGAAGCGCCGTCGAATACGTTTTCTGTGGATATCGTTAGACTGCACATCAAAAATCCCTTGTTCAGCACTCACCGTGCCAACCTTCAACGGTGAGATGGACATATCTGCGACCTTCAGGTTTGACACGCCGTATACATTTAGTCAAGCGTCGACGACTCCTTGATCTGCCTCCGATTTCATGGCACCAGCTCCAAGCTACCCATACAAAGGTCAGATATAACATTATGAAAGGTTCAGGTCCACCCACCGAGTGCCGTATCGTTTGCAATGAAATTTGATTCGGTATTTTACCGCGACGATAGGGATGGCCAGTCAGGACTTACTGATGTCGCGGTAGAATTGATTGATCGCCTGGTCATCTTCGGCAGTGTAGATGATATCAGGCGCATTCAAGTCCACTGGCACGGACGCTTCTCTGCGAGCAGCAGCGTTTCCCTTATTCAACACGGCAATCGGTGGTTGAAACATCATGATTGATGAGCAGTTCACGTGGAATTCGTTGCGTCAAAATTCATCACAGAATTCTAGCAACGAACTTACAACGATGTGCTGGCCAGTGAATGCGTGAGGGCGAGGGATGCTGCATTTCACATAGGTGCCGCGAGGCACCTGGTCGCGCAAGCGGATGGACTACCAACGAAGATGTGGTGAAGCCTGTAGAAATCGCACGGCCTAGTGTGGGTTCAGTATCTTGATAACCCGCAGATGTTGTGAGTTAGTGATCAAATGGCTCGTTTTGGGGTGGACTTACCATTAGGGATATAGTCAGATTATGATGAAGGATGACGCAGATGATTTACTCGAGCAGATGGTGCAGGACCATTGATGCTATCATTTGGACGCAATCGCACATGAGGTTGTGGGTAGGCATCCGCAGGACGAAGATGGTTGAGGGTGATGAGATGGACGGTTCTTCGTACTGTCTGGAGCACAGTCAATCGAGAAGTCATCAAACGTATTGCTGTGACCCGGAATGTTCTGGGGCGAAGCGCTAGGAGGTCAAGGGGGTGGTTTGAGCGCGACGACGACACTGTATCCTTGCATATCGAGGGTATTATCTGATTGCTACAACCGCTACACATACACAACATTCACAGGCGCTCCATTGGTGTGCGAGGGGACGATGGGGATGGCTTTATGTATATTGGGCAGCCCGTCAGCCTGAGAGCCAGTAACGACTGGCATACTTGTAGATGATGCTGGGGATATTGCAGAACCTGTGGATGGGCGACTGCCATTATAGCCATTGGGTTGCACCTTAGAGACCTGGGAAAGCTGACGACGCCTGCGTGTGTGATGAAATATGAAATAAATAGGTGATGGTCTGGAAGAAATTTACAATGTAACACAGATATGCCTGCATTAAGATTGGTGAAGGTTGCCGGTACGTGGGTTGACAGGAACGCACCGGCTGGTAGATCTTCGTCGAAGACGTCTTTTCCAATGGTGTTCTTGTATCGGGAGCGGGGGTTTGAAGGGAGTGGCAGGCTGCATCTCAACTTTCGCTGAAACAATAGTTTCTCTATGCGAAGCGGGGAGAGTTAATAGGAACTCCTGCAGCTCGCCCAAAGCATCAAGAGCTAATGCAACATCAGCCGAGGATAAAGACTCGCGATGAATGCAGATGTACGGTGGATATTGGATATCTTGGAAACATGAAAAAGACTAGTAGGGGGGACACGGTGAGATGTAATGGCTCGGAGATGAAATTGAATGTCACGCCGTTACGGGGCCATTCACTGGTGCGCCACAATATCGTATTCTGGCGGTTTGAACAGCATATAGGATAGTTCTTGAAATATCTTGCTCAATGCTCGGAGAGGACAGTCATATAGTACTCCTTGACAACGGTGCAGTTTTTAGGTAGGAGCTGATGTAACTTACAGTAAACACGCGCTCCAGTCTAAAGTTGCCGCTGTCCGGTTCTGAACCCACCGTACCTTTTCTGAACCTCGAACCGAACCACGGTGTTCTTTCATCAGACACTCAGGTATGTTTCCAACTCTTTCGTTATCTCGCCGTGTCTTACATTAGTTTCTTCAGCGTCTCCGTCTGTTAGGTATTGATAATATAAGTTGTTCTTTCATCAGACACTGAGCGTCTCCGTCTGTTAGCTTCTACATCTGCAAACCATTGGCTTGAACTAAATCGGTGCGCTTTATCTGAGCCTGGCAGATGACGATGTTCATCTTCAATCTTCCAGCGGTTTGACACATTCCTGTAATCCACTCGGCGACTGAGGTGCACGGGTAAACTGACTGCACTAATAGCATTTCTAATAGCATTTCTAATGTTCTGAGTAGGGGACGGTGGGTCACCCTAGGGCGTTGTGCCATCAGGTGCGTGGATACAACTTCCGCGTGAAGACCAAGTTGATAGGTGGGGTGTGTTCCCGAAGCAGAGATACAGGTCGTTTGGGTAGAAGTCCAAATTTAGCTAAGGTGTGATAAAATTAGAGACGCAATGCAGAGGGAGAGAAGAAACCGATTGACTGGCATCAATTCCACTCGGGGTACCAATACCCGTGGATGGCGACCTTGGGGTGACACCCGACCACGAGACAAGTTCAGGCGGAGGGGACGTTAGATTCCCGCGGAAGCTCGAAGTCATCATTCCTGACTGAAGTGCGTTTCCGCTTGGACCGAAGGGAAGAAGGGGATGAACCATCTGTTGGACGTTTCTTGCACGAGCGCTGGCGAGTGCCTGGCCTTTTATCAGGCCCTCGCCGTTTAGGTGCTGCATCGTATTGGCATTCATTCGAGCGGCGCACACAATTATGACAAATTGGTCTTGCAGAATCGCATCGAATTTTCCTCGCACGACTTAGCAACCACGAAAATGAGCAACCTGAAATAAGAATAAGAATGAACGCACCATTGCTGACAAGCTACCACCTGATTCGAAATTTCCCTGCGAGGCGGATCCTGAGACGTAGATGCGGCTGGCTGCGGTTGAAGGGTTGACTCTGACGTTGGAACAGGGGATCGAGTGCTCTCTGGAGTTTGTATTGCAGGGGGTTGTGCTGAGCAACCACCTGAGAAAGACTGTGTGCGCAAGTCCTCAGCAGAATATTTTCGATTTCGGGGGCCTTGGTAGAACAAATTGATGACGGCACCGTGAGCCGGTGGGAGCGGAAGGCAGATGTTAGGGTGGGTATGGGGCGGTGTGTCAAGGCCGAGGTGATTTCTTTGTGGAAGAAAGTCAGACTGATATGAATTATGGTAGTGAAGATTCTGAGTTGAATGAAAATCCGAAGGGGTTTCGAGAAGGTGAGGGCGCGGGTGGATGTTGATGTAATTAAACTGAGAGGCTAGGATGCCCGCTGCATGTTGTCTATCTAGTTGATCTTGACGATAGCGGACTTCATTGTGGATAACATGTGAAATGATGATTAACATTGTTTTGAAAAGACGATAGGACTTACTGTATCCATGCGGCTGAGGAAATTGAGCCCCGAAGATGGGTGAATGCAAGCCAGAGCCATCCTCATTGGACTGATAACCGTCCTCCATCATTATGCCTTGTAGAAATGGAGCATAGATGTCACTGTTTGTACTAATGACCATGAGTACTAAAAGAATGAGAGTTGAGAAAGAAAATAGTAAATGGTAATATGGCACTAGTTCTTTACCATGCGAGACTTGAAGCTTGAAGGAGAACATGCGCCGGAATGGCAAGCTCAATGATTAAGTATTACTCCCGAACTCGTTACCAATTCGCGAGTCAAATGAGGATTTGTACATAAGTACAACCGCCGTAAACCTTGGGTAGACCCAAAAAAGTGTTAAGCCTTACAGCAGTATTTAATAAGGTGAGCCAAAGTGGCGCTCAAAACCGAAAGCGAACATCAGCAAAAGACCTTGAAATTTCGCTTGTCAGAAAGAAGTTTGATGCTTACGGTGAGCTTACGGCGCTGGTGATGGAGCAACGCGATTGGTGGAACAAACTTATCCGTAGTAAAATGTAAATCGAATATTGCGGTAGCGTTAAGTGGGTAAAATGGGTTGGAAATAACGATATTATATTGAGATTACTATTTGGAACCCTAGACTAGGGCCATTTATAGGCAGCAGTGATGGCCGTTGTAAAACTTTGTAACAATTGTGCATGTATTTGAGATCATTGTCTGTGTTGTGACTACTACTACTAGTATGAGGTACTGATACTGCGTCTATGCGAACTCCGTGCTGAATGTATGATAGCTCTCCTTATCTGCGAAACTGTTAAGAAAAAACCGGTCATAGCTCTCCAAACAAGTGGCCGAAGAAATCTTTGCGTCTACCTTGTTACCATATTCTGGTATCAATTCGACAGCATGTGTTACATCCGTCAATGATATCACGCCACCACACCTACAACGTCTGCCATGTTGGTCCATCGTGTATGTGCGCTCTACTGTCCACATTGCAAGTTCAGGACGGTCACTGGGATTAGCGACGAAGTGAAAGAATTGGACGTAGAGGAGTGGACCGGAGAGGAACGTTGGCAACACCAAGTCAGAAGTCCCTGGAATCTTCGGCTGAAAAATAAGTCGGA